AAGATAGAGTGCGAAAGTTATTCGTAAAAGTTGGATTAGTAGATGAGACTAGTACTATGCAGGCATAATATGTTTTCTTCCTTCTTTTAGTAATATAAGAAAATTTGAATTCTATACCATTTACGCACAAACATGGTGTACAGAAAACAATTGAGTTGTTTTCCTTCTAATTACTTTTGTTCTTCTCTAGCAGATAACATCTACTCCAGCCGTTTAGATACTGCTGCAACTTCGCACATTGTACTGCACTCGTCAATGAAAGAAATGCCCGAGTTCTATGTTGTATGAGAACAACCATCACGTGGAAAGACAAGTCGTTATGGGTAAATCTGGCATATCCTTTTAGCACAGACCATTGTATTAAAATTAGCTCTACCAGTTTTCTAACGTGAGTCTATTAACAAGAGACGAAAGCTGCTGATTGATCCCGTAGGAAGCAACTGTCTATCGTTCACACTATTATGAAAATTCTGTTTTTTTTTTTTCTTTTCTGCTCTCAATATAAAATCAAAAAATTATTTCACTTTACATCACGGTCCAGTCCGTTTATTATCTTATATTTAAACTCGGTCGTTTAGTTAAATTCAGTTACTTTGAAAATTTCTTGATCAATCCTCCTGTTAATCAGTTTCACATGAGAATGCCATAAATTAGGTAGGAAGGAGAAATTTTGGTACATGATCACAGGGTATATTACATACTTTTGCTAATGTGTGCATTGGTCCTTGCCTGACCTCTTCATTTAAACGAAGTTAAAGTAACACTTATGATTGAAAGAATAGCGTATTCACAAAATAGAAGTACTCTTAACCAAGAGGATGAGCTTGTTGCCAAAGAGAGATTGTTGTATGAGAAAAGTTTTGAGTGCAGGAGAGGCACTCTACTGGACAAAAGACTGTCTAATTATGTGAGGGTCCTTTGACATCAGACAGCTTACAGCTGCTAACTCAGGATGATTAATCAATATCTGGTGCGCCAAGAATGGTATATCAAACCTTACCCTTAAGGATCAAAATTGGCACAAGTGGAGCAAAAGTAGCTGAGGGTGGCCGAGGTGAAATGTTATTTGGCAAGTCCGAGACCGCTTTAGGAGATCTCTACAAGATTAACAGGGTGTTGCCAGCCAGAGCACCACAGCTCCAGCTCTAGTGAATATCTTTTAAAACCAGCCCAGAAGAGCTGGAATTGCTACTGGTGGGTGCGCTCCACCAGTCAGAACTATTTTTTCAGGAGGTGAGACAGTAGGCAACCACAGTTAAAAACCACGAAACAATGGTGAGCCTCTAAGTGGGGGACGTATCCTGCAATGACGACTATAACTCACAACAGAATGTAGAGTTACAAATGACTGTATGATGAGTAGCTCACAACAACTCATCATCCTAGACCAGGGACCAATTACTCTTCCAAGCATTATGGTTTCTGAGTATGTCTACAATCTATAACATTGATGGCACTCAACCAGGACGTAGGTCAAAGTCACAAGGGAAGAGGCTTCGATCTACAACACAGGTCCCTGTGAGTGAGGTAAAGCATATTTCGCCCTCTGTGTTCAAAGAAACAGCAAAAGAAGACTTAGACCGCGTTCTGAAGAATTTCAACCACATAACTGTCTGGACTCAAGAGGAATTAAAATTTATCAATCCTTGTATTTGAATTTTCAGTATTTAATGTCAGGTTTTAACCATGTTCTACCTCTCTACTTGACTAAGAGTGGATTTCCTTTTGTCAAAATATTGTTCCAGATGCCTTTCTCGTAATTGCATCATGGACTCCAACTATGAAGGGACAGAATACCTTTAGGACTTTCTCTTTTAGTAAGATAACTGATGATGTTGCTGAGCCAAATATTTATTATGGCCAAGCTCATGAATGAAAATGCATTGGACATTGGAGAGCTTGCTGGATTGGTAATGCAATTGCTACAGGCTAAGTAGTCCCCACTGGCAGCAGAAGGCCCAAGCGATGCCAAAACTGGGGATGTCCAGAGGACATGATATCAGGTACTACCTTGTCAATACTGGAGGAATCCAGACTGCTAACATTTCAGCAGACTCTGCTACCACTGTCAAAAGAGGGGAAAAACCCTATAGTCAGATATCTATTGCCAACTTTTGTTTGTTTGTTTTTGGATTTCGCGCAAAGCTACACGAGGGCTATCTGCGCTAGCCGTCCCTAATATAGCAGTGTAAGACTAGAGGGAAGGCAGCTAGTCATCACCACCCACCGCCAACTCTTTTACCAACGAATAGTGGGATTGACCGTCACATTATAACGCCCCACGGCTGAAAGGGCAAGCGTGTTTGGTGGGATGGGGATTCGAACCTGCAGTTTGCGAGCCCAGTGCCCTAACCACCTGGCCGCCAACTTTTGTTAGTTGCACCGTAGCTTACATCGAAGTGTTATACTGCATATATCACTGGTGTTTCAGAGAAACATTTGTCTCTCATCGTCCAGCCTAACTTACGAGTTCTGGTACTAAACTAAAGACTACTTGGACATAGACTTGTGGAGGACAAAAAGATAGATCGGAAAAGTCATTGTTACACGCCTCTGATTCTGCATCCGAAATAGACAAATTAATAGGAATACGGAAAAATACCTTCAGTTTTAATGGCTTTTATTACAAACTTTAGGCCTATTGGTTTCGAATGATCCATCAGCTTTTCGCGCTTAAACTGTAATATTTAATATATATATAAGGATTATTTTACAGTTACTTAATATATGGAATTAACACTAACCTAAATCTTCTAGACTGGCCGAACCACATGATACATTATTTGGATTATGGTCGAAAATTGTCCTATCAGTGAAAGCAAAAAGCTGATGAAACTACATTATAAATCAGAAGGTGAGAACAGTATATTAAATTTTATTTATCTTTTATCAAAATTTAATATGAATAGTTATAAAAAATGGCAAAATTTGCAGGAATCTTGTAGGTTTTGCTTTTATTTCTAAGCAAGGTAGCTTACTTTTCTACCAATCACGAAAAAAAACGACTCATCATATACCGTATTCTCTTAACTGACGTTTTGTGCTTCCATCTTGTGGTAGAAATTTAAGTTAAAAGTCACTACATTTTAGTCATTTACTTTTTCACTCACACATTACATAAACTCTTTTAATTATATTCATAATTTTCCATATATATATATTTAAATTTACATTGCACTGTTTGGCACATAGGTACAACAACCAAACATGTGCAATATATTTGTTGACTTACTTTCCTCACTAAAATGTGCATTTCAATGAAATACATATAATGTACAGGCCTAATCTATTTTAAAATAATAATAATAGATATTAGTTGTGACGGTATGTCACATGATACCCAAATACCTAAAGTATTTTAGAATAAAGTACTATACATCTAAACCAAACAAATCGCAAATGCGCGTATAATAGAATTATTGTATCAATTCTATGAAACATAGTATTAGGTTTTGAACCTGGGAACAATTTTACGCTTCTGATTTTGCAACTAGTTTTTATGAACATTGCCTGGTCATAACTTTTTATTTTTAAAACTAATTTTGTCAACTACAACAAAAATTATATTGTTGTTTATTGATATGCATCATTTCACTGAACCCACATCTGAAACCCTTTTTCTTGGTATTGTTATTAGGCTTACCATTCAGTATTTTAATGCAATACTTATAGTAAACGTATATTATTCAGGTGGCATAATTAATTGTTTCTTACTATTCAATGATTTTGACATTGTGTTTTGAAATACTTTTTTTGGTAAACCTCTTAATCTATAAAAAGAAGAAAAAACTAGTTTAAACATCATAAAATATAACTTCATATGCCATTTTTCAATATTATATATATATGTGTGTGTGTATTAATTTACTTGGAATAATTTATAAAACTATCAAGTGTAATTAAAAAAAAAACAAGCTTATCTTGCCAATAGACTATACATATCTATGTCATACCCTGTTCCGTCAACTGTGTTACGTAGTGGTAAAACTAAATCCACACAGTTACAAAATAATGCTTTATTAATAAATATTTAAAAAAATTCAAAATCAACATTTCTTTAAAGATGTTTAGAGCTCAAGTTAATCTACTTTTGATCAGTCTTAATAACATTGTTGAATTTCCACCTTGTACCCCCCCCCCTCCCAAGGTCTGGATTCAACATTGCTTAATGATCATTAGTTTTACAAGAACTTTTCATGGAAAACTCTAAACTGTGATGAAAGTGAGGTTATACGTAGCAGAGGAGAAGAGAGTGTAGAAGCAATCAACAAAAGAATGTAAATGAAAATATAAGTAGCTCAACCGTAAAAAAATAACTTGTATTTTGGGTAGGGAGTACGACTGACACTTGTATTTCAAGTGCTTCACCTTTGAGTAATAAGATCTTTTTACTGTGACAGAAATGTTGGTGAACTTTTTAAATGCAAAAAATATACACCTTTATTAAGAATTTATCAACTGATATTATTAAACAGATTATACACGTACAATGATTCTAGTTCCATAATGTAGATCAATCATGTCCGTCCAAAGGAACTGTTTTAATGTGAATGTGAGGGCATTATCAACCTATTACTGGAAATAGTGTAAAAGTTACCTTATTTTGATTCAATGATTTCTTTTTTTAATTAAAACAAAATTACCAGCTCATCTGATACATGATCAGACAGGAGAATGAAAATCTTGCTGTAGGTTTAACACAAACAAAGCACTTTCGTTGTTCGTTCATTATCATCAGAATCAGTATTTATATAGAAAGCAAAAAATGATGGACATGGATGTACTCTACTAAGAAAAATATCCCCAACAAAACAGAGAAAATACGTTTGTAGAAGATTACTACACTGGTCCAAAAATACAAGTTATTGTTGGAGACAAGTTAACTAGCTAGTGACCATCTTATTATTTGTCTATAGTTCTTTTTAAGAAATTTTGGTTTAAAAATTTCACACATAAATATCCTTCTTCTCTTCTGCTTATTAAAGAAAAGCGACACTTGGTTACTTGTGTTGAAATACCAAATATATTGACCTTCATGTCAAAAACATGAAAATACATGTACACAAATGTTGAAACAATACAGTAACAAAAATGAAAGCTATGGTAAATAAAATGGAATAAGGACCCTGCCCCACTTCTGTGTCTCTGTACAGTTTATTAATATTTGGGGATAATTTCAGTTTCAAATGCATCCAAAGAGCTGAGTGTTACAATATAAAAATGTTTTTTTTTGTTTTTTTTGCACCTTAGTATTAAGAACAGTATTGTGAACAGTTTTCAGAATCTTCAGGTTCCACGTTTTCTCACCCTTCAAGATCATCGATTTTTAAAGAATATGGTTACTGGATGCCAAACCTTTTATAATCACATTCATATGCAACAGATAATTGGTGACAAAATTCTGGAAAAAATACTATATTCAAAACCAGAAAATTTTCAAAATAAAATCTTTGATTACATGGTGACACAGCGCTAATGAACAGGTTCGATGTATGAAAAAACGGTATGCTGCCCAGTCATTTGGTTTCTTACATACACACAATTATAGTCATTACGAGATGCTAACACCTTTCTTTCAGAGTGGGCATTATGAATCAACAATGATAATGACAAATGAAGAGTTCCAATAACAAGTTTTGTGCAAATCAATTTTGTACATTCCATCAAAATGTGCACTATGTATACAACACACACGAATGATGAAGGCATTTGATGGACTGCATATTTGACATGAAACCCACAACACAAGTGTTCACTAAGAAAGGCATTACACACCACTTATAGATATTGACCCCAAATACTCTATTACATATGAGGTCATCAATAAATAAGTTACTTCAGTGGTAATCCTTCCCACATCCTTTGTTACACTTCTAATAAGGTAAGATTAGAAAAAAATCAAACATATACTTAATGTAGTTTTATAACAAAACTACTGTTTATACAATGGCAGGGATAACCCAGATCTCACCAGTCTATTTTCATAATTAAAAATGTTCTGAGTCGCACAACCCTCACCCTTATTCATACTTACAGTCAATGTTTTTCTTATGTTTGCAGTCTATTCTCAATATTGATAAGAGTTCTCAACACCAGCAGTTTTAGACACTATTAGTTAAAATCACTCACAATAGTCAGGGTCACTTCCAGAATCATTATCTGATTCAATAATTCTCTTTCGTTTTCTTTTGTGTTTTTTCTTTTTTTCCTTTTTCACAATTGTCTTTGGCTTATGCCGTGAACGGTTATTAGTTAAAGATGGTCTACTTTTTGGTGTCAAAGAACCAATTCTTGTTTGTTCACTTGAAGAAACTACTGGTCCTTCTTCTGTCACAACCAAACTTTTAGTTTCAGCACTGCCAGAAGCAGTAGTGGTTTGTGCCACTAATGGTCGAGGCCCTATTGATATTTCATTATCATCATCTTCATCACTGGGGTCGATAGTAAGCATGAGTTTTTTAAAGTCTAAATATTGTTCTACTAATTTTTTTCTGCCTTTATCATTTAGTTCTCCTTCTTGCTTACCAGATTTAATAAAATCAATGACAGAAACAGGTTTGAATCTCACAGCTGTCTTTCGGTTCATAGATTTCTCATACACTTTTGCCGACTCATTAGGTGAATACTGTTGAATCTTATTGTCAGTAAAACCATACATGTCTTTGAGGGTTTGTTTGATTAAGAGAAGTAACAGACATCCTTGAGATGCTGTCATACACTCTTGTAAAACTGTAGTATCTTCTGGAAGACGTTTATACAGTGATTCAAAGTCATCATCCTCCTCATCATCATCAAAACAAGTTTCTCCATCTTCAGAAATCACGGGTGGATTCTTTCCAGGCAGAAGATGCTCTCGGAATGTCTGCAACAAATTAGAACCCGAGACAGAAAGCATCACATCAATGTGGTGGATTACAAATAATGGTTCATCTTGTGTCTGATATGGAAAATACACAATATTATCTGCTACATACAACAGTTCAGATAGAGGTGTTTTAGCCTGTTCATCAAAAAGCTTCAATAAAGACATTACAAATGCACGACGATTTTGACGAGTACTACGAATCACCGAGTATAAAAAGCCATTCCGACTAACTGGAGTCTCACCCATACGAAACCCACGAATCAGTTCTTTAGAATCTTCCATAAGTAGAAGAAGCATTTTATACGAAAGCCTCACTCCAGCCAAGGCTTTCATTTGAACAAAGCCAGGATATTTCTTTTCTATTTCTTGAAGAAGTTGGTCTGCTTTTGTTCTGATCACTTGTTCATTATCTGCACCCATACATATCAAATAGGGCACTACTTGGACTGGATGAACTAATCCTTGGCCCAGAATCAGTTGCACCACGTGTAGAGCAGCTTTACGTACAGAAGGTTGGAAATGAAGAATCGATTCCAGAACTTGCTTCAAATATATCTGTATGACAGTGCTTGCCATGCCAGATGTTATGTCCCCCATTTCTTTAAGGTCTTCTGACTTTGCAACTTTGCTCCATTCTGCATCCTTCTGAATCATCTGTGCTTCTTCTTCCAATAGATAATTGGTCAGATTCTTTAACACCTGGCATTTCATATTAACAGGAGCACCCGGGCTGGTAAGCAAATAATGGTAGAGGTTTTTAACATCTACTCCTAACATCAGATCATAATGACGAATCATCATAAAACCCAGGCCACTAAGAGCCTTGTGACGAATATCTTCATCACCATGTTGTGCAAAATACATCATAACATTAAACACACGAAGTTTGATTGATTCTCCTCCAGAATCTACTGAAGTTCCTTCCAACGATTCAAAGACAAAATGTCGACAGAACAGACCCACAGTAAAAAGTGATCTCAGTAACTTGGGTCTTTGTTGAACTAGCACTGGGTTTTCTGGGTTCTTTTCGTGTTCTTTTTTAAAACCCAAGAGTACAATGAAAAATTTTTGAAAACAATCTAGCACCAGTTGATAATTTTTAGTTACCCGGTTGACAACAGAACCCAGACAACTGACACAACTAGGCAGAATCAACATTCCATGACGAAGGATGAGCTTTACCATGTCTTCTTCCACCTGAGCCAAGAAAGACTCACTAGGGTGTTCAATAAGAGGAACCACTAACTCTAGAGTCCTCGCTACATTCTGCAACACAAGGTAATCAGCTTGTGTGTTGCATCTCATACTGAGGTATGGCTGAATAGTGGTAGCATGAGGTACAACTAACTGTGGTTGTATCTTACTGAAGAGGAACAACGTGTTGAAGCATGCTACCAGATGTTGGCTTGCTCCTGTTGATTCTTCTCCTTTCAGTGTTCCTTCTAATTCCAGAACATTGTCCACAACACTATCCACTATTTGTTTGCAAGATTTCAGGACAGCTTTGTATCCACTATCCTCCTTATTTTTTAATAAGTTGGTCAACAGCTGTTCAAACCATTCCAATCCAATCTCCTTACAGGCAGCAACTACATGAGTAATATTCTTTACCTTCTGAACTATTCTATGAGCTTGTCTTTCTGAGACAGGAGTAAACCACATATTCTGAAACACTTCTCCAACAAGTTTTTTTATTCCTTCCTCATCATTTACTCTTCTTATCATCTTCACACAGATTTCTGGTATTTTGGGAAAATCAGGCTGTTCTAAACAAACATCTTTTAAAATTTTTATAACTCTTTTTCGAACACTAACCCCCGTGTCTAAGATACGGTCAGTCAACATATCATAATATTTGTGAGTCAATTCTGGACGGATTAAGATAAATCTACCCACCAAGTCAACAGCAGCTTCTCTCACACTGGTAGACTGGTCAAGAAGACGACCATGCACTCCTCGTTGCATGTCTGAACGAGCCAATATGCCAGGATCAGCTTCTACCACCAAAGACAAGCACTTCATTGCTTTGGTACGGACAGCCACAGCCGTTTCATTCAGTACTCTTAATATCTGTGATAGATAAATATCAAAACTCTGGGAAAAGGGTCTTTTAGATGCCAGAAACCGTGATATCAATTCAGCAGTGTCGTAGTCAATCAAATGTTCATCATTTATATTTGAATTTCCATGATTATTTGCCTGTATTAATGATAAAAGAAATTTTTTACGATCTTCTGCAAGTGCCAATCTTTTTAGTTGAATGTCTTCTTTGTCTGGATCAGGTTTTGGTTCATCTTTGTCTGGAGGAAGTTCTTCTTCATCATCATCCTCATCATAGGTGTAATTTGAGACTTTCTTGTTACGATGTCTTGAAGTCTTTGACGTACCACGGTTCATCTTACTAGGGCTTTCTTCCTGTTGTTGCTGTTCTAATTCTCCTTTGTCCTTAGTGGGGCTTCTTACAGGTTTCACTTCAGCTGTTGCATCTCGGTACCACTGAGCAATGTAAAAACGCCTTGCAAACTGTAAAGCTGGGTCGCTCTCCACATTCTCATCAAGATAATCCAATAAAGCTTTTTGCAGAACTTGGATTTCATCTTTCTTTATGATCTTAGATTTGGTCTTCTTTTTACTTTTCCCATGACACCCTGAGTCAATATATTCCGAAGCACTGTTCATCTCTATCTGCTTAATAATCTCTTCAAGGGTCTCTTTCTTTAGCTGACTCGTAACAGCATCTTTACGAAGTCGAGCTGCAACCACACCAAGGTAGTCTAAAGAAGCTACACGCTGAGACATATCCAAAGATTTATTGCTAAATGTCTGCACTAACAATCTGCCTAGCAAACTCAATAGCAGTTCTGAAGCTGGCCATTCAGGTTTATTTACTGTACTTAGTAGATCTTGTACAAAGTTCTCGAACAAAGGTCTATAATCCATTTCTTCATTCTTGGTCACACATTTTTTTAAAAAAACAGACAAAAAGTTCACTGCTGTTCTTACAGCTGCTTCATATGATGTTACAATAAGAACATCTTTCTCCACTGAGATAGTATCTTTGGACTGATCATTCTTTTTGGGATTATCAATCTCATCCTGAAACATGTATGGTTCTTGTTTTTTTTCTACTTCAGGTAAATGGGAGACACTGTGGATAAGTTGCAGGACCAGAGCAGTCAGCATTTGTATACACTCTTCAGAATTCAGTCTATAGTTCCTGAGGCTACGTTTACTGGTTGGCAGCCTTGCAATGGATGCCAGTATGTCTTCCAGAATCAGCTGTCTGTGTTTTTCATACTTTGAAAACACTGATGTCACTAGACGAAGAGCATTCAACTGGAGCTCACTCACTCTCTCTACAAAGAATGGACTAACTCCGAGAGTAGAAACATGTAAGATAATGGTATCAGTAAAAATTTGAATTTCCATTAATTCTGCCAATAATCCAACCAACTCATGAATTTTATTATAGAGCTGGATGACAGATTTTTCTTTAACCTTATGAGCATGGGCTCTTTTCTGTTTTATGTTTCCAACATATCCATCTTTTGATTTGGGATCTGCCCTATAAGCTGGATCAAAAACCGGGTACACAGTATTCTGAATCTGAAATTTTGTAAAAAGAACAATTCTTTCAATTACATCTTCCAGGAACACTTTTTCTGGTACATTTGGAGATGTCATGATATACAGTGTTGTAAGGGATGAGTCAACACTCCTCATAATTCTTTCCATGGTTAGCTCAAGCCATAATCTTGCTTCCTCTTCATCTTGTTCATCCATACTTTGAAAAGGAAGTAGCTTTGCTCCATCCAGTATATTCCTCTCTAAAATATTAAGAAGTCGGATCAACCTTTCTGGAGGAAAATGATTCATAGCATGAAGCATCTTTAATTTTGCAGCTTCATTGCAAAGGTCTGTTAATTGGGACTTTGGAATTAGAGCTTCAGCAGGACATTCAGCATCTTCATCAATCTCTGCTGTGAGATCCAAATCTTCCATCGAGTCAAAAATTGTATCCACCGTTCTAGAAAACCTTTGATAGGTGTCTGTTTCCATAAGCTCCTCCACAGAAAGTTGTTCTGGTAATGGCTCTTTCTTCAACTTTTTTACTTTAGTTTTCTTTTCCTTTAAAGTGAGTGGTGGTAGTCCTGGTGGGGATTCTGGTTCTCTTTCATCAACAGAATAAGTTGTCTGTTGACTAGTACGTCGTCTCTTTTTAACCCTTTCAGAAAGGGATGTTGAGTACCGATAATCTTGGTCAGACTTATCATTCCAATCTTCATCACTGTCGTATGTTCTTTTTTGACCTTTGTATCTATCTGAAGATTTTATCTCACCTTGATTATAATTCTGTCTTTGTTTTCTCTTTGGTGACACAAGTTGAGAATCTGAATCCTCAGATTCCCATCTTTTTGGATGTTTAAAAAATTTTCTAGATGGTACAGATTCCTCTTCACTTTTCAGAGTCACTTTACGAGTGAATGCCCTCACACTTTTCTGGGCAAGAGCTTGTTCTGCAGGGCTTAATTTACTAAGAACAACAATTGGTCCTGGAGAGGAGTTTTGCTGTGCCACAGATTCTTGCTCTTTGGTCTCTATAGTATTTAATTTACTAATAACAACAACCGGTTCTGAAAGAAGTTTTTGTTGACCCACAACTTCTTGTTTCTTAGTTTCACTGAGGTTATGAGCAGTTGAAATTGAATAACCTTTTCCTGATGCCTCAGATTCTTGTTCTTTATTTTCACAACCCACCAAATTTTCTGCCCTTAATCGTTTGTTATTAAAGGCAGTTTTTCTAGTCTGAGGTTGACTAGTGTGGATAATTCTGGCTGGAGTGGTTTGCTTATCAACTCTACTTGTAATATCTACATTGTGTTGGCTGGAATTTTGTAATTTTATACAACTTTGTTTGTCTTTTTCATTTTTAGTTTTTTCATCTTCATTTAACAGCTGATTATTGCGATCACTGTCCACATGCCTTTCTAAGGCAGATGTCAGGTGAGGGTCTGGTGTACAATTTTTTGTCGAATAGTCTTGGTTACCCTGAGACATTTGGTCTTGCTGATGTTTAGGTTTTGTGGATACTGCTGATGAAGATGTTTGGGATACATGGGGCTGTGAGTTAGTACGAAGTAATGAAGAATGTGTGTTTTTATCATGTGAATTCTCTGACGGTGTAGGAATGAAATTACTTTGTGACAACTGTTGATGAGGTTCACTGACATGATTACCTGTCCTTTTGTCTCCTTTTACAGGAGAAATCAAATTGACAGCATCTTGGCAGTTTCCATTCTTATATGATGATGCACTAGCCACATGAGAAGTATTTCTAGTGAATGATGACGGATAGCATGTCTGCTGGTTCTGTTCTGGCAGAGCAGCTAAATGATTAGTCTGTTCATGGACTGGAGACACTGTATTTGAATGAGCTGATGATTGTGGGGTAAGAGGTGGACCGTATGGGGAATACACACTATGAGGGGATTTCTGATGTGACACTGATAATGGGCTATTTTGTACATGGTGAAGTCCATGACTTGGATCTGCAGCAAAGTATCCTGGGCTTTCCTGGGTTGGAAACTGAGGTGAGCTTGAGTGTGATGTCTGAGATACTACAGTTGTTGAACTATATGTTGACTGTTGGGGGTACAGAGAACCTGCAATAAAAGATGGCTGCCCCCAGTGAGAACTTCCAGGTCTTCCTTGGGCAGTAACGTCTTGAGTAAGAAAACCTGTGAATATTGTAGGATTTCTGGAGAGCACAAACTGAAGCAACTGTGATGCTTGACCACTCTGGGGTGTACTACCTAGGTATCCATCCTTCACTTCAACATGATCGGTTGACGCATGACTCAAAGCATCAAACAACTGGGGTAAAAGAACTGCTTCATGGGTACTCAACAATCTCTGAAATTCTTCACCATCCCTGGGATGAGGCAGAAGGCTCTGGTTGCCATGAGCTCCAGGTAAAGCAACTGGGAGTGGCAGTTCAAGAAGAAGATCCGTTAAGCTCTGAATCCCAGCTAATGTTGTTATTGGTACACTTGGTCCTTCCCCACTCATCCTGGTCCTCAGGTGGTTGGTGGAAGATTACCACTTACAGAGCTTACTAGAGTGAGACACATTGATTTCACAAAGGGCTGGAGGTAGCTGCTTAAACCTGAAGAAAATAGGAGAAATGCATTATGAATACATATAGTGAGATATGTGAAATAATAATAATAAAACAAACAAAATAACTTCAGATGCATGTGAGATATATCACTCTTAAGGGTATCCAATAGTATGTATTGATCAATTATTTCAAGATAACGTTTTTACATTCAGAATCAGTGGCAGACATTCCAAAATTTGGTGAGAGGACAAGACCCATCGAAAATCTGACTGACTGAAACACCATTTCACTGAGTCCTGTAAAACTTGCTTGCTAATAAATACATGCACTACATACATGTACATGATCTGGGTGTTTGGGTCAACATATATTTTTGAACTTGGATTCATGATAAAACATGTAAAGTGGTATGCCGATGTTTAATGGTGAGGATCCATATAATATCTGACAAATTAAAGTGTTTGTGGGGGCAACTTCCCCCCCCCCACTCCAAGTATCTGCCACTGTTCAGAATGCTGTTTATCTGAAGCATATACAAGTTAACTGTATATTCAGAAACTGGATACATCACATATTGAAGAATGACCCATAAAACACAGAAATAACTAATACACAACAAGGGACCATTAGGTCCTTCAAAAATGCCCTTACACACCCATCTTTGATAAAATGAAAGAGCAAAAAATCCACCCTTAACTTTTCAGGAACTTATTGATTCCCCTTTTAATTTCTTGTACAGTGTTGGCCCCCATTAGTGCTGTTGGCAACTCATTCTATGAGACAATCACTCTGTCTGCAAAATAAAACTTTCTCAACTAATCTGTCTTTTCCAAATATTTAAAATTGTGTCCTCTTATCTTCAGAAAATAATACAGAGGTCTATCCTATCGATCCTCCAGATAACCTTGTAAATTTCAATTATGTGGATAAGTTTCTTATCTTCAGAAAATAATACAGAGGTCTATCCTATCAATCCTCCAGATAACCTTGTAAATTTCAATTATGTGGATAAGTTTCTTATCTTCAGAAAATAATACAGAGGTCTATCCTATCGATCCTCCAGATAACCTTGTAAATTTCAATTATGTGGATAAGTTTCTTCAGAAAATAATACAGAGGTCTATCCTATCGATCCTCCAGATAACCTTGTAAATTTCAATTATGTGGATAAGTTAAAATTTCTTAACGTATTTCTTCTTGAGAAAAGAAGAGTAAGAAACAATCTATTTTTAAAAGTATTTCAAAAATAAATGAGAGTGGGAAGATATAATAGAAGTTATTATCCAGAGATTAAAATGTCAAAACTAGTTTAATAAAATTCTATCTTTCAAACATGTGGATCTTGGCACCTAACCCCCTCCCCCCTTAACAGCATCTTCACTACTGAGCTAGAGTATAAAGCTCTGGTTGAAATATTTCACACAAGACAAAACATAAGAAAATGTACAGTGTAAAAAAAAGCATGATATAAACCAAATGGAAAATAACACATATTCCTAAGACTAGTGATTTCAGTTTGATAGAATAACAAAAAAACATGTACCTTTCCATCTAGACTTAGAAATGTTTTCAAAATTCTCATCTGGAGTGGCAAAAAATCTTTGTATTCTCGAAAGTATATATATTCTGAGGAGAAAAATGGGTTGACATCACCAAAATTGAGCAGGTCAATGTAAACATGGGTAAATTGTAACATAAATAAATATGATTACTAATAAATAAAACAAACCTTGATCAGTCAGAAAACCATCTTGCTGCTTTTGATAATAGTCAGAAGGCTACTTAGCCATCACACTCTTTCTGAGACCTAAAAAACATATAGAACCTTCAATAAATAACTGTTTTTGAAAAATACAAACCCTATAGCACATATATTTCTTCCATACATTACTATTAAATATAAACCAAATTCTCACTAAATCCTATTTCTTATCAGTCTTAAGTGTAGACGTTTGCCATGTTTAAGATAGAATACTTGTTTTTATTAAAATACTTTATGAACTGAAATTTTCATAAAATTGAAACCCATACACACAAATGAATAAGCATTAACTTGTTTTATACATGATTAGTTTCTAATTTAGAGTATGCCAGAATGCTTACTTCTAGACTGACAGTAACACACTGATTGGCTCCTCTTAGAAAAATCAATCAATCTTATAGATTGTCTCTTTACAAGTGCTAATTATCTTAGTGCACATATAGATGTAATCATGCTATATGTGAAGGAAGTTCAACAGAAAAGACATTAAAAACAAACATTTTAACAAGAATATATAGTAGTACTAACAATATCTCCCCCATGATCAGCAGTGATCTAAACATGCAAAAAGAAATCCACACATATAAAAAGGTAACACGATAATAATTCATTTATATGTCAGTAACAGCTTATTATAAAGTGAACATAAATTAAGGAAATATTAAAACTTTCTTGACATTAAAAATATTTATTTCTAACTGGATTTTACCACAGCCTTTATCAAGCAAAGTGAATATAACCATGTACTGCATGATGAAAGTTCAGGTAGAAAAAAAAACTGTAAGATGGCCACGATCAAATGTATTTCAGTGTATTTTAAAAATGATTGCCAAATGCTCTATAGAAATAACTATTTTAATATGAGTTAAGTCCAACGTATTAATTTATAGCTTTTTCAAAGCATTCTTACCAAGTAATTAACAAGTTAGTGGTCTTTTTTTTCATACCTTTTAATCTCTAATAAATTAAAAATAGTAATTTACATAAAATAATAAACTGACAAAAGGGTTAGAATCAACATATGGTTTAATTTAAGAAACATAGTAACATGAAAGTTATCTGAATGCAAAACGAACATTACCTTATACCGAGTATAATATAGATACCAAGTTGTCAGAATCTATGTTGTTTGTTAAATGGTACATTTTACCTAACCTAAACACTAAATAAAATAGCAGTAATTACAGGTTTGGCTTGAAGTATGCACATTAGAACTGTGAAATTAATGAATTTTGTTAATCAATTAATTGTCAGGTTCATTAATCTATTACATTCAATCAATTATAGAAAATTCGATTAATCACAAATATTCATCAGAAACACTAATTTAGATTAGCTGATTATTTTTACAAGTCGTGACAATAATCTATGAAGCTGAAGAATCTAGAATTAATCAAAAATAATAATGAGAAATCATAATTGAAATATTTCAATTACTTGGATAGTCAGAAAAATTGCAAACTGTAATAATTGAAAACTAATTTTATCTAATTGATTATTTTTGTGACATTACTCAATTTAATCAAAATTTTGATTAATTTCCATGACACTAATCAATGTAACTGATGCTCATTGGTAATCAATTGTATCATTTAATCAAGTTAAACGTCTAACTCTAGTGGAGATTAGGAAATTGTGAATAAGAAAAATAATAAGATATCCAGTGAAACAGGAAGATTATAAATACAGATTGAGTTAAACAATATTCTTAAATATAGCAGATTCAAGAATAAACTTAGCTGATACTACTTGTATGAAATACACTCAGCTGCAGGATTGAAAGGCCCCAGTATATTAATCAAGCTCCTCTATTATCCCAAATCATTCGTAGCAGCTACCTCAAGAGGGTCCATTTCCAAAAATAAAACCCTGTTAGGACACCTGAGCATGTGTGCCACATTTGTGGGGGTATGAACATAGTTTCAAACATGGTGACTCCTGGATCCCAAACGGGGCTAGGAACACAAAATCCAATGCTAGATTAGGGTTCAGCAACCCTAAAAACCTACTCTTCGACCCACATCATGTCTGGATGACTATGTGGGATTGTTTTAGTCCTCTTGATATGGGGGCTATGTCAGAGAGACAAGGACCACTCTTGAGACACCCTGAGCTTGTCTGGCAAGTTTATTCATGCTAATTATAAAAATGTAGAAGGAGTTTGCAAACAAACAAACATAACATAAATTAAAACAGAATTGTAGTGTTAGAAGTATCAGTAACAAAATGGATATTGGTACTGTGTGGAGTCAAATATTGAGGGATAGATTTCTTGAAATGATTTGGGATGTTTTTCTATACCATATGGTCAGAGAGACAGAAATGGGAGACGCCATTTTAAAAATCACTGTTAACCACTAATGATAATATAACTGCATGAGTTGAAGTAGGGGAAAGTTTGGGAGGAACATTAATAATTCAATAATTAAATTAAATTTTCTACTACACATTGATATAACAATAAATAAAATTTGAGATATTTAATTTTTGAGGTTATGAGATTAGATTTATCATTAGCGAATTGAGACAAATTTGTGAAATTTTTAAAAATAAATAGCTTTTAATTCAAGATATGCATGTTCCTAAGTAGAAAAGGATGCTCAACCTAATTGGTTTACTAAAGACATAATGGAAAAATCAGAGATAAATGCCATAAATTAAGAAGTTTAAAGTGATATATAGGTTGAATGATTTACAAAACTATTGGAAGGAAAGCTAGATATTTGGTAAAAAAAAGGATTTAGAAAATTCAAAGCAGCTTATCAGAAACAGCTGGATGACAGTGCTAAAACAACAAGGATTTTTTAAGCATTTTAAAGGCAAGCAAAATATTCAAAAAGTAGATTAGGCCCTTAAGTATGATTAAAAGGTTTTTGTTGAATACTGTGATATGGCTGAACTTTTAAACTTTCTCTTCTATTTTAAGAGTTGGGAATTATTATCACCCAATGCCCAGGACAACAAGTTTTACCATCATACTTTGCCCATCTTTACTGTATATTTTACACTGTTCATTTTCTTGCTATGAAAACACTCCAAGTAGATTTCTAAGAATCCATAAAATGTCCTGAAAATTCTGTGACTGCAGATGTCTAGCACATAAAAACAAACATTTTTATATGCCATTCTCCACAAAACTGAGCTGACACTGTATTGATGAATTACTGTTACTTTATATTTTTAATTTCATAAAACATAAATAATTATTAATCACTCATTTATTGTGTTCTCTGTTAAATAACAGTTAAATCAGAAAATTTATATTCTTTTTTGTGGGATGGGGAGGGGCACAAGTTGATTTTTCTAGTATTTTGTCACTTGGACTAGAAGTTTTTTCAAAAATTCCACACCCTTGTATTTTAACAAGAGAAGAGATGTGCAATATGCCTGGTACTGAGCATGCTATGATAAGTATTGGAATTGATCTCAAACATGTAGATATTGATGGTAAGTGTAAAGATTGAGAGACTAAAAATAAATAAAGCACTAGGACGAGAAAGGGTTTTTCTCCATGATTTTAGAGAAGGTCAAAAATCAGATATGTGGTCTCTCTTTTATTTCTGGTTGGTCAATAGATAGTGGGCAGGTGCCTCGGGATTAGAGAGTTACTAATGGTGCACTAATCTTTAAAAGGGGTGATATAAAGGTATCCCAAGAAATTAATCTTACTTTTATAGTGGGAAAATTTCTAGAGAGACTTCACAAAATCATTTAGTAAAATGTAATATCATAAGACATAAAGAAAGTCAACATGGTTTCACCAAGGGGAAATATTACCTTACTAATCTGTTTTTCTTTTAAACTATGTTACTTGTTATCTAGACAATAAGGGTATATACTTGGTATACTTAGATTTTCAAATTGCCTTTGATAAAGTGTCAAGAAAGATTAGCCAAGAAAATCACACTGATGGGGATTAGAGAAAAACTACTTAACTGCACTGTAGGATGAAAGCAAGCAAAATGTTGTTATTAATAAAGTCCAGTCAAACTGGACCTCTGTTATTAGTGGATGCCTCAGGAACCCATATTTGAGACTTTGCGACTATTATATTTTTATCATAGTGATATTGATTTGAGCATAATTAGGAAAGTTTAACATAACATTTAAGAACAAGTGGCCTATTGGTCTATGGAGGCTGTCTCATCCACTAAACTAAAAACTAAACATATACCAATGTTACCAAAAGCACAAATATATTAAATTCAATAAAACTACATGAAGATTTTATTGATTTTAATATTTTTCCCAGTGTTGGGCCAAATTAAGCCACAGGCTCCACTCCTGGTGGTACCCTTTACATGCTGATTCTTTCAGTTGTTGGAATTAACCAGACACGTTGCTCCACCAACTAAGAATGGCCATGCATCATCACATAATGAATTAAGAAAGCTCTTAACCTGTTCAAGGTCTGCTAATGACGTTACACTTGTGAGTATTAATTTCTAGTTATACTGAGGTACTACAGAAAGGTAAGATGGACAAATGTTTGGTAAATGACCATCAATTATTGTGAGTTAAAAGTAATGCACTTGGGTTATAATTTTTATCACATGCTTGATATAGATGGGAACCTACTCTACAGCATGGTTTCTGTTGCCAGTAGTAAAGCTATTTACAATGTATACTTAAACATGTTGATTACAAGTCAAAACAGGTAATTACCTTTTAAACAAATAACTAGTTAGGCCTCACTTAGAACGATGTTTACAGTTTTATTTGTCTTACCTAAAAAAGAATAAAAACTAATAGATATGGTTCAGAGGAGGGCTATTAGGGTGATTCTGGGAAAAGACGGGCTGCCTTATGGTGGTAATTTAAAATCTCTGAACTTACTTTTATATTGAGAGAAAAAAAATCATTGGTGACCTTTTTGAAATTTACAAGATTATCTTAGGAGTCAATAAGATAAAGGCCTCTGACTTTTTTAACCTGAAATCTGAAGACAATAGGACACAAGTTTAAGATTTGGAAAAAAAATCATGCAAGACTCCAGACACAGTAGTTCTAATAGTATGATTAGCATATGGAATGAGTTCACATCAGCAGTAGTAGAGATAGCAATCTACTAGAATTTAGGAGGTATATCAATGGTTATCTGAAAAAAGAAAGGTTGTGTTGAATTTTTACTTTTTTTTCTTGTCGGTGGATGCGTGTAGGGGCAGCTTTTAAGGGCTAAGTATCTGTATATTATGTTAAACCCACATCACCTCTTTAGAACATTTCACAATGTTTTTATCTTTTTGTCATTATACATTGTCCAAACTGACATCAAATTAAGAACTTCAAATGACTCAACAAACACAAATGACTTAGTTTTAAAGCAAGGAATATCAATGCTTCCAGATGAGCCATGACAGACTACTGCAAATTTAGTTTTGTTCAATGTATGACAGAGAACCCATTGAACAAATCACACGAAACATGGTCCTGATAACACTTCTCATTTTTTAAAACTTCTGCCTGAAAAGGTGTATGTAGTTCATACTGCTAACTTATTCAAAGTGCAGAAAAAACTGATATATAATTTCATACTTTTTTATCTTTTCCACTTGTTTCCAGTTACTAACTCAAAACTACAAAATAAGGAAATATCCATTTCTATATTTTCAAACTTTCATTCCACTGCAAGTTCAAAGTCTGACCTTGTAATTTAATGGCTATGTTATAAATTTATAAATGTTATTTACAAGGTTTATTTAATGATATGATTTGTGTTGTTAACCAGAACTTACTTAAGCATTTGTTGGTTAGATAAACAGAAATGAAGGTTTACATTTAGTTCAATGTTGATACTTTACTTATTTCAATGGCTGGATAGTTTTCTTATCTAAAAAAGAATAAAACTTAATGGATATAGTATAATTAGTAAAGTCCATATAGCCTGAACAACGTATATTGTCACTTTGATTATTCTTAGAACAAACAAGGAGACAGAAGGCAATGCGGTCAATTAAACTCATCCACAGTATGTAGAAAACTTAAAATAGTAACCAATTTAATCATTATCTTTTGCAGTTATCAATCAAAAACATTTTAACAGAACTAATATTAACTTCCAACTGATCACAACAAGCTGCCTACTTACATCAAAACTAAAAATTAACCCAATAGTGAGTACAACTAATTACATATAAACTTTTTATGTTGTTACTTATAAAAATCTGAATGCTTGTTTCATCAGTTGGGTGCCCTCACTGTTAGTGTTACTGATATTCTCAGCTGTAAACCAAATGCAAACCATCACAACATTAAGAACAGAATTTTGCTATGTTAACATTTATACCTAAGGATAAGGATCTGGCCAATTGTGAACTAAATTTGACTACATATCTTGTAGGCCTAGTAGTCACTACCTTCATAATATATATATTTCATAGACTGTATCTTAACATTTCACCTACATGTCTGGATTAACTTCCATTACGTTATAGTTAAGCCTAACTGTACTTTATTCTCCAACTTCTCTTGAAGAGTATTGCCCTTACATTTTATAACCTAATATTTTTATATGTGAATTTAAAACGTTAACTCATTGTTAATATTAGGGTTAATGTCAAGTATTTAAATTTTTATAAAAACTGCGCTTACGTTTAAAAAAGGAAAAAAAAGGATCTAAATAACTATTAGTATTAATATTATATTTAAAATTTATCTTTTTTCATGGTTCAGATAACGTAATATATTACTTATTAGTACTATAGAAAAATTACTTAATATAGGTTGATTATCAAACACTGAAACAAATCCTTTAATCGTAATATTAGGCCCTCAAGAAACTACATTCAAATTAAGCAAATTTTACTTTTATCCTACCCTAACGACAACGTCAAGATCAGCTACGAACTACCGCCAACGTTAACTTCCTTACTGTCTTTAATTAGGCCTAAGTATAACTAAATGGGTATTACTTTATTATTTGCTGTCGGAATATTAGATAATATACAAGAGAAGAAACATGAATATACATACAAAGCGCTGTAACATTGTCTGAAATACATGCATATCTTTTGATATACTGTAAACCTCGGAACTAATTGCAAATTTGTACGTTAGGCTTAACTTATGAATTCGTATCATTGTCCGCCATTACGTGACCAATATTCTCGTAAAACAAATGATTATGTCTACCATCTTGGCTGAGGACGAGAGTATTATTTTAGATACGAACTAAGGTAGCTAAGAGAAAGAGTTCCAAAAACATGGTGAATTCACGAGGAGGAGATTATACTTAGTAGGCTAGCGCAGTAATAGACATTTTCAGTTTTTACAAAAATAAAACTTTCCGTATGTGTTTTTCTTTTTATGTATCGAAATGATGAAGTTGGCATAATGAACTTGGTTGGAATCCTCTGGACTCATCACCTAAAATGAAATTTGAGCTGTTAACATTAATTCTCTAACTTCTAAGTCTAACTCTAAGGTATAACTTGTAATTGTGTTTCTATTTTAATCTTATTGTTAACTTCTTAAGTCTCATATGAATAATGTATATTCGGTTAAAATTAAAATTGATAGCGTTGGAGATTTAATATAATAATTTTGTCTGTTTTAATTACATGCTGATGCAGTTGTATTTAATCACACTTCCCAGAATTATACATCATGAGTATGATTTAAAAAAAAAAACTAAAATAATATTGATACTAGTAAGTATCAAAAGTATCTTAAAATTTAATATTATAACATTTTGAACAAATTCACAACAAAATAATACATTTTACTAATTAAAAAGCCATACTGACTACTTGGCAGTTTTCTTAGATACAAGAATGAAGTTGATTGATAATTTTGTACATGTCTTTAATTTGAAAGAAAAAAATACCAGTTTGTCATCATCCACAAGAACGTGTTTTTTATATGTCCCATTTTGTCTACTATGTTAGACCTACTAACAAAAGCACAAAGTAATCCTTTCATAAACTTGTCATAAGATTTTTTTTATGTAAGTCAAACTATCATCACAAAATGTGTAATCCTCTATGCAGTAAACTGTTTAACAAACTGAAATGTTTGTTACATGTTAAGATTTGTTTTTTAGAGCATGGCTTCTTTTCAAATCAAGATGAAACTATTATGTGCATGTTTCCTGTGGTATAAAGTATACTCCCATTCAAACTAATATATGCATGTTTCCTGTGGTATAAAGTATACTCCCATTCAAACTAATATATGCATGTTTCCTGTGGTATAAAGTATACTCCCATTCGAACTAATATGTGCATGTTTCCTGTGGTATTAAAGCACATTTTTTTAGGTCACTTTATGTACAGTTTCCTTTCATAGATTCTTTTATGATTAAAATTATCATGTTTTTAGTATTTTATTAGAAATATAGTTAAATTGAATATAAGAATGTATCAATGACGTTTTTAAGAAAAGCAGTATTATATTTTCTTTATTTCATTCTACACATGTTGTAATTCCTGTAATCTTGGCTATTTATGTTTGTAACTCACTCTTTCCTATGTTCTTATTTCATTCTGTGTTTTTATTCCTGTGATCTTGGCTGTGTATGTTTGTAACTCACTCTTTCCTATGTTCTTATTTCATTCTGTGTTTTTATTCCTGTGATCTTGGCTGTGTATGTTTGTAACTCACTCTTTCCTATGTTCTTATTTCATTCTGTGTTTTTATTTCTGTGATCTTGGCTGTGTATGTTTGCAGCTCATTATTTTCTTTATTTTTATTTCATTGTACATTTCAGAGATGATTCTCAAGGTAATGTCTTCTAGACAGTTTAGAATCTTTTGTCTAAATTACTGTGCAGTTATATGTGAATTTATGTGATCCAACTAGCATTTGGTTTCTCAACTTTCAGATTTGTTTGAAAACTCAGACACACCCTATATGTATTTGAACTTCACAGATTATAAGTTTTACCGAGTTAATCCTGTAGTGAAGTTTATTGTTTATGGATCGAGTGGTTGTTACCATGACCACATCTTAAAGCATACATTATGAATTCATATTTCTTAAGCCATGCATTTTGAAATTAGTAGTAATGTCAGTAAACTTTAAAATTCAGCTTGAAACCATGAACAGTTGAGGGGTTGTAAATACCAGGCAGTGTGTTTGACTATGTTCAAAAGTTTGATTTACTACTACATCTATGGAATTAGAATTCCTGAACCAGCTAAGCCAGATTTTACCAGGAAAGGTCCTTTAGCTAAAAGATTCACCAGTATCTCTCTGCTTTTAATCATTTCTAACCAGCCATGTTTATTTACTTAGAACATTTTATGGAAAGATGTTGGAAGTACCTCATATACATTATGTTTGGCCAAATACATGCATATAGAATTGAATTTCTGGATAAAATTTAAAAACTTAGGCAAAATGGTGTTGAAGAGGAGAACATTTGGAAATTTGAGGTATTCATCATACTGTTTGTTTTTTTGTCAAAACATTTCATTAAACACTGAATTTTCCAACATTCCCAAAAAGACAACAAAGAACTGATTCTTAACAATGAGGCAAGTTTATCATTCCATTCATGTAACTCCTTGGTTGATATCAAGTATGAAATTATATGAATAAAGAAGTTTTAATAAATTTAACAGTTCTCAATTGGTAGAAAAGTAATGTACTATGTATATAAAAACATATTTCAGGGTATTCTAAGTAAACCTGTATTGCCTTATCCCTTAACTTACCATCTTGTTTTATATTGTCCATTAGTAATGGGGTCCAAATATTGTACCATATTGAATAATTTGTTATAAGGAACTGATAAAAACAAATTGGGTGAAATTACTCGTTTTTCTATGCAATGTGCCCCAGCAGCAATTAATGGAATTAATTGCAATACTGATGTTTTTTTGTTTAATTTTTTATATGTGGCATGTTTTCTGTAACCATCAAGATCATGTACCTGCAAGTAATTTAATACATGAGTTGTTTAGAGCAGTTTTGTTTAAAAAGATATTGTGTAGTTATGAAACTCTTGATTTTCAAGTGAAATGTGAAGGTGTTTGATTTACTAAAACACAAATCTCATAGTAAGTTATCTGTAATCTAAGGTTAAACCTGATAAAGGGGGCTTTTGTTAACATGAAATAAAAAGTTGATTAGCTATAAACATTTGTTTTAACAATGTTTTGTCAAGTATAGGAATGAGGAAGATCATTGCATAAACTCACTCAGACCATTGAGCCAATTAAAAAATTCAACCTCTCAAGCTAAAGCTCCTTGTATCTGTTCCATAAACTGAAATTAATATTAAGTAACAGCATATATTGTATTGTCAGTGAGATAAGGCAGTGGAATGTGCTGTACTTTACTAAAAATTTAACTCAATATTAAAGTCAAAAACTTTATGAAGTCTTTGATATTGAGTTATATATGTTTTAAGATTACTGTAGAAAAAACATTGTACCAAACAATGTTGTCATTGGTTTTACTATGTATTGTATACACTTACAGTGTTTTTTATCCTAGATTTTAGTCAAATCCATAATTTATTACCAGCTTTCCTGTTTAAAATACTTACCAGGTCCTGATAATTATACTGAATTGAGAAATAATTACTTTTTTCAGCATGACATTTAAAGTGCTGGTCTACACCACTGTGGGGTCCTAGACAAATACAAAGTGCTGTTTCTCATAGTATTTGGCAGTAAAAAAAAATGATGAAAGTTGTACAACAGAATGATGTGGTATGTATTAAAATGTACGTATTAATGAGTGAGCTGTAGGAGTATTTGGTTTTTCAGCTTAATCTTTAATAATTGTTCATAAATATATCTGTACAAGGAAGAACAAACTACAAAGCTGAGCAGGTTTTGGGAAGGGATGTATGGTGTACTGAAAATAATCAATGAAGTGGTATCCAGAATCCAAAAAAATAGGTGATCCAAGCCAAAGGTAATCCACCATGACTGTCATTAAAAATATGTCACTGAGAGAATTTCTAACTGGATAACTCCAAAGAAGAATTTGTCAGCAGAAAATTGTCTGCTTAGGATCCCATGGTAGTTGTAGAGACCACTTGACCAAATACCTAACAAGAACTACTGCAGTTCCAGGACAGTTAGTAATGATAAGAGGTAATCTTACCTGTATACCATGTATCTCGGAGAGAAAACCACCAAAAAAGAATTGGTTAATAGACAGTTTAGTGCAATGATTTATTTTTGTATAAGGATTGTTCAAAGGATTTCACAATCCAGAAAGGGGGGCAGTGTTTTCAATGTCTTAAGCTAGATGTTGATTAGAGGGTGCATATTGATAAAATTGAGAAACTTAGACTAATATCTAGATAAGGATGAATTGTTTGTGAATATAAGTTATCAATAAATCAGAAGTTATTGGAGTATTTATTTAGAAATCATTGAGTAATGACTGAGAATTCAATGTGTGAAAGATTGAATAGCTGTTGATAGTGTAAAGATAATCATTAATTTAGATTTTTTTTAAATCAAGTACATTTCTGTTAAACATTATCACTAAGCACTGTAGTACTTAGTAAGTAGTGATGAATCAAGAACAAAATGGCCACCTCATTCAGTTTGTTACTCTATGGTTCTTAAAAATAACTGCTAAACTTGAGTTATAGCCTTATTTGAGCACCTAATTGCCATTATTATACCATCACACATACACACACATCCGCCAAGCTCGATCCCACTGAAAATTTAAAGAAAATTAGACAGCTATATAATGTATTGTTCAAATAATTAAGAAACTGGTGTTTTTAAAGCAAGACAACAATAAGATGTACACAGATCTGTCAATCACATAAATAATTGATCTCACCTTGAATATTAATTTAGATTATTCGTTCTTTCTTTATTGAAATTGTTTTGGCAGATATGTTTGTGCAATGAAAAGTCAGAAACAGTAATTAAGATCCTGTGCTGCCATCTAGCGACCAGGAATGAAACTGTTACTTATGAAACATGGAAATATTATAGTTATAAACTGAACTCATTGCTAAGTAGTAGTTTTCTTTCTTATTATTTCCCCACGTGTGGTGGAAGAATAGAATAATATTACTGTTATACAAGCTGTGAAATGCTCATCTCATGGCCTGGGATCTGTATGATGTCCTCCTTATTAATTGACATGATCCTAGTATGTGGTAGAGTTGATTGTATGTACATGCAG